TTAAGTAAATTGCATACTCTGATTTCCTAGGAATCATGAGTGTCTGCTGATTAAATACACTCAGAAACACAGGTCAACACTTATTCAGGGCTGCTCTATCAAGAGAGCACTGTGCCCACTGCATGCAGCAACACTTTGTGTCATAGATGTATAAAAATGCTAAGAATTTGGAGCACCATCATGTAACACTCAGCTTGGGATCTTCTGGGAAAAATGTTGTCACGAGGGTGATTTGGGTAGAGTTTGTAATTCTTTTTTTCTTCTTGTCATTCTTAACCAGGAGGGAAGAAGTCTCAGTCTTGGAATGGGAGCTGAGGATACCGAAGGCTGGTCTTCACCTTGAGGGAGGAAGGAGTACAGGAAGAGGAGGACTTTTATACCATGATTTTTCAGTGGCCTGGAGGAAATCAGGACGCTGCAGACTCCCCTTCTCTGTCCTGTGTGAAGGCAAATCCTTCTCAGTCAGTTGTCATCAGAGAAACCCAAAATAAGTTATTTAAAATGCTTTGCATTTCCTGCCATGTAAGTCGCAATCTCCTGTATTTCACAGATAAATACTTACCGAGTCCTCAAATGGGTCCCAAAAAATTGCAATCACTGCATTTTCAGTGAGGTTTTATGAGGAGCAGAATGTCCTGTTTGTCCATGTGGGTGCAAAAGCTGCACATGTAGCTGAAGCTTAGGGAAGCACTAAATGCAAAAAAAGAAAACAAAAGCGTTTAGTTTCAAGCACCATTTCTGAACAGCTGATTCTTATTGCCAAGGAAAGTATTTACGTAAGTGTATAATACTGGGGTCGAAAATAGTGACTTGGATAAACACTTTGCAGTGACATGTCTAAAACAATTATTCTTTGAAGACAGGAATATAACAAGAACTTAGGTCTGGGCTGTGTCTGTGGGAACACCTAGTCACATAAGAATTAAAGGGTACATGTTCTAGATCAAAGTGGCCTATACTTCATAATACATCTAATTATCATACCATTCTCCTTTATTAAATTCATTTGTTTTAATTAGAGGAATAGATCTATTGCATCAGAGTTTAAGGGGTCTATTGGGCACTTGAGATTAAATCAGTGGTTTGTTAACAGTTTTATCTGGAAAGCAGATTAGATTATTTAAATGGTGTGAAATAGCATTGTTTTTCTTAGTAGAATGAGGTTATGATTAAGAAATAATGCTTGGAGCATGAAAGCTTTCCTTGCCATTATTTTTTATATGCAGATTTGTGATTTTACAGTGAAATTGTTCATCTTTATTCTGGTTTTATAATATTATATTGGAATTGGCAAAATCAAACAAGTTCTACAGCAGCGTCTAACAGCAGGTGTTTTCCAGTGATGATAACAGGAAACGCCAGTGCTGGCTACTCAATTCAATAGGACCATAATTTAGCTTTGTGGTTTTATTTTTTGTACTGTTGGAGCAAAAAATCTTGTTAATCAGTTCATAAAACAGTAGGATTAAAAAGCATGCACTGGAGGTGTCAAACAGTCAACAGCAAAAGAGTTTAAAGATTATCTATCTTAAAAAATAAACCATAATCGGATAAAAAAGGCAAGTAATGAGTTAAGGGCAGCCCAAACGTGTAACTCCTTGGGGTCACTAGCAATGTGTCAGTTTACACCTCAGCTGGATAAAGCCTGGAGGGCACATAACATGATGTCATGAAGTTGTATTAACCACACTCTGCCTTTGAGGTGTCTTCTTGTATCCTTCTCCCACCAGCACTTGTAAGTGACGAAGGAGACACACTGAGGCAAACCACAAGCTGCACGCCAACTGCTGCATGTAAGTCTGATTTTTCTCAAGATAAGCTATACAAAATGTCTCTTATTAGAACAAGTGGCCATAATTGATGCTAGAAGGGAGCCAGCAGGGTGCTTGCAGGGTGCTCACACCACCCCACTGCTGGTCACAGTATCTCTGGGGTTTCGGTGGAAGCGTGTTGGGCACAGTGCTCCCTGCCTGCCTGCCTGGGCTGTGCTTGGCCAAGCAGCAGTACACTGGGGCAAGATGTTCTCACAGGCTCATGCTTTGCCCTGAAAGGCTGTCACCTCTTATACAGGTCACTCTCCTTCAAGCAGTACCTTCTTGCTGCCTAACAGGCAGAAGGAAAACTTGACCTCTTACTCGGATGAAACCTGTGGCTGAGCCTCAGGCAAGCAAAATCAGGGTTTCTACTGAAAGTAGGAGCGACATCTTTGGGCTGACAGTGAATTCTTTCAGTTTTATTGTTTACCTGCATGCTGCTGCTGCTCAGACTCTACCTGGGCATTCAGACTTCCTCTGCTGGGGAAGGCAGTGGCAGGCACCGAGCCACGCGCCAGTGGCGGCCACCGAGCCAGCTGCTTCCTAGGTGCCTCTGGAGGCCCCTGCTGCCCAGCCTATTCCTCTTCTGAGAGAGTGAGCACTGTGTGATGCTGCATAACTAAAACCCATCATGGCCTGTGAGGCATAATTGATTGATAAGTCTGGGTTAGTATCTCTTTCTGAGGTTATTAAATAACGACACCCTTTCCCAGCAACAAATGCTAATTGATTGGATTACTGATAACAGATCTTCAGATCTGCATCACAACGAGAACCACGTAACTGGGCAAAAAGAATTACATACACATGCAATTAAACACACTCATGCAAGCACGCACAGTGTCAGCTGTCCTCCATACCAAATGCACAGCAGCACTGGGTGCTAAAATTTGCAATTAATTATTTATATGATGAATTATCCATCTTTCTCTTCTCCTAGAATATCCAGTTGCCCATTTCCATTTTTGTTTTGGAAAGATTTATTATTCAGATCTATTCACTAGATAGCTTATTAAACGTTTCCTCCTCTTTTTCTCCATAATACATAACATGCAGCATATTTTCTGGTAGCACCTATCCATCTGCTCTAGTAGGGGCTTTGAGCGTGGTGAAACTGTGAAGAGAGCAATTGTTACCCAGACAGTTTACAGTCGCCTTTGTGAACCAGTTACAGATGTTCCAAATTTTGGATATTTATTTGCTTCACTTGAGTCAAAACAGTTTCAGCCCCCGAGTAAATGATCCACAGCTACAGACAAGGATTGCGACTGCATGTGAATGAATAATTTGGTTCTCATCAATATTTAGCTTGCAGCTCTTGAGATTGCACCCGTTTTTGCTGGTAAAACTCAGTTCCCTGGAAGTGTTGGAGAGGGTGGAAGGAGAAGATGAATGCCCAGAGCCAACTAATTTAGAGGTTTGCTGATCTTCTCTCCCCGAGAAAACAGTTTCTCACTTTTGCTACACCAGCTTAAGGAACAGCATTTTGCAGTCAAAGACTTCTTGCCCTTGCGTGTTGCCCCTGCCATGCCTGAGACCTGTTCCTGTAAAGACTGTACAAACATGAAGCATCTCTGGATTCATGGGGTAGCATTTCAGTACCAGTTTCCTTGGTGCTGGGTTAGTACCTGTGAAAATGAAAAGGAGTCACCCACCCACAGGAATTTTCCGTATTTTGGGGTCTCCTTGGTTTCCATTTAATTGGCTACCCTAGTGTCTCCCGTGCAGTCACGTCATTTTCAGCATTTAAATCCCAACCCCACCTTCCATATGTGTGTTTGTTATTTTTGTACCTTGTAAATTCTGAGAATGGAGGAGCTTGTTCTGAAAGGGCTTTAACTGCTATGCTTTAAATCATGGCAGAGATTTACAGTTGTGATAGAGGTGAAACTGCAAGCATCCAAAAAAAGAGTTATCTGCGTGCAGAGGAGTCGGTCTTCACATACCTCAGTAAATAACATCCCAGGGATGTCATCTTGCTTCCCCTGAAATCACAAACAGTAATACCCTCTAAGAACAATAGCACTAAAACTGTCCTCGGGATAAAAATAATCGGTTTGCCTGTGTGTGAAGTGCAGAGTCTCAAGAGCTCTTCGGCTGGGTAGCAATATTTTACCTCTAATGACCTCAAACCAGAGCCAGCCATTTTTGCAGGCTGTACGGAAAGCTGTTGTGCCACGAATTGTACCCGAAGGTAGCTGCCTGCCTTCACCTCAGCACATCTCCCTCAGCTGGCTCCTGCACACTCCAAGGGCTTGGGGGGAAACTAGGCAGAATGCACTGGGGTTTCTTTACTAATTTTGGCTTTCTTATTTAGCCAGATTCTCCCACTTTTTGGATGATTGGATCTCTGCATCTTCTGCAGCGGAAGAGGAGCACGTGTAGTTTGCTGGGAATTTTTTTTTTGATCGAGGTGTTGCAGTTGGAGCCAAACAATCCTCTAGAAAGGAAGAAGTCGGGATGCTGTGTGCAAATACCAGGTATTTTTAGGTTCTCCTTAAACACGCATAAACTAATGCTCAACTTGTGTGTCTTTCCTCCCTTCCCCAAACTCCTACCCTTGAACCTATTAGAAAAGGATCGATATAGTTGTGGAATATGTAAGAGTAGAGATGTGAAAACAGAAGGATGACTGGTTGGGGGCTCCCAGGGGGCTCTTTTTCTTAATCCTGGGTTTCTTTTGGTGAACTTGTGTTTTTGAGCAGACCCTTGGGCAGATTGCTCGCTGGCTTGCTGTGAAAAACCCAGCTACTCTGTGAGTTGACGGAGTGGGAGGTAAGTGGCAGTAACTAATGGCAATTAGCAGAGGTCTGGACAGTTATGCGTCCCTGGAGACTGAGCTCTTTTGGGGGTTGTGGCTTCATAGAGAGAAGCTGATTGTCACCCCACAGAACATGACAATTTGCATCCCTCCACCGAGGCTTTGCCATCACATTTGTTCAGCAGTCTTTCGAAAAAAAAATGAGGTTTTATTTAATTTTTGCTGCCCAAACCTGCTGAAGGAGTAGGGAAGGAATGATTACCTTCAGGGAAATTACCCACCAGCTGCTGTTGGTGATAATTGTTTAATGCTTCTGTAACACTTGATGGTGTTACGACTGATGTGCTAAAAAAGAAACAAAAAGAGAGAGGGATTTGGTTTTAAACGGCCAAGGATACTTTCCACCTTTTCGTTGTAACTCCCAGGTCATAGTAAGAAAAATGTCCCTCGCTCCCAGAACCTGAAAGCTGCCTCTGATCGAAACATAACGAGGGAGAAGGTGAGAGGTTGCAGTTGGTAAATTGCAAGCGTGTTTACTAAATCCCATTTCTCACGCATCCTTGGCCACCTCTCCCGCATCCATCGCCGTTGGGATGTTCCGCAGCATTCCCCCAACCCCAACCCTT